AAAAACGTGTCCAAGTTTATTCTGTAAAACGGTTTACCTGAGCTGGCGATCATACTTCTGTGATTTATCCATTCGCATCCCGGTTTCATCGGGCGCCGCCATGACTTTTCGTTCCCAATATAGATATATTTGACAGTGCGGATATTCGTCAGCAAAGCAAAAAACAAAAACACGTTGTATTTAATTATAAATCACTAGCCTCTTCTTTTCCTCACATTATAATGTATGGAATTATAATATCATGTTTGACAACAATATTATAGCAATATTAGCGAGTTGTTTCGAATCCGTTTCTGTTAAATACCGGAAAATAGATTTCGCAATTTAGTTCTATGTTTTTATTTGACTTAGCTGGCGGTATACAGTTCCAGGATACAAGTACAGTTGTAACTTTACTAAAAGTTACATCATTTATTACCAGTCTACGCGGGGAAAATGATTGTGTTTTGTACTAAACCGGTGTCACCGGTAATAAACGACCGTGTTCATGTACTCGTTGTAGACACATTTCAATGTCGGGACCAGAAGTTGTGGTATTTACTTTAAATTCATTTAGTTTGGACGTTATCTCGTTGACTCAAACTTGCGTTTCCCGCCAATCTACAATGTTTAACAAGCAGAATATCCCGACAAACTCGAAATTCAAACGTACAGTGCCTACGACATTGGGGATGTTTGATGGTGAGTACAGTTTTACTAACACGTGTAAAAAAACCAAATATTTACTATTTTTGCTTGTAATTACAGTCTCTCTATCACTATTGACTGTGGTTATGATATCCCGAGAAGTATCAATGGTTAATGTGCCAATACGCCTGTCACCTAAACTAGAAGGGGACGGTCGATTCGTCCCAAATCACATTCGTCCCAAGTCGATTCGTCCCACAAGTTGATTCGTCCCAAGTCGATTCGTCCCACAAGTTAATTCGTCCCAAAGTCGATTCGTCCCACAAGTTGATTCGTCCCAAAGTCGATTCGTCTCACAAGTCGATTCGTCAGATTTAAGGTTAGCCCACTACTAACTCGCCAAATAAGCACAAACACATCCAAACAACAAACTGTTCACGTACACGTCATGCACTGACATGCGTAATTGTTTGTTGCGCCATTTTTTTTTTGCCGACGTTATATACAAATACACCTTACGTACAACGCTGAGTTATTAGTTAATAAATACAAATACACCGTACAAGTTATTAGTCAATAAATACAAATACACCTTACGTGCAACGTGGAGTTATTAGTCAATAAATACAAATACACCTTACGTACAACGCTGAGTTATTAGTTAATAAATACAAATACACCGGACATTCAACGTACAAGTTATTAGTTAATAAATACAAATACACCTTACGTACAACGCTGAGTTATTAGTCAATAAATACAAATACACCTTACGTGCAACGTAGAGTTATTAGTTAATAAATACAAATACACTGGACATTCAACGTACAAGTTATTAGTTAATAAATACAAATACACCGGACATTCAACGTACAAGTTATTAGTTAATAAATACAAATACACCTTACGTGCAACGTAGAGTTATTAGTTAATAAATACAAATACACCGGACATTCAACGTACAAGTTATTAGTTAATAAATACAAATACACCGGACATTCAATGTACAAGTTATTAGTTAATAAATACAAATACACCGTTCACGCAACGTGGAGTTATTAGTTAGCGTGTCAGTAACAGTTGGCATAGAAATTGACCCTGTTCAAGATCGTAATGCTGACTAAAAATTTAAAAAATGGACGAATGTGAATTGGGACGAATGTGAATTGTGACGAATCGACTTGTGGGACGAAAGTGAATTGGGACGAATTGACTGTGAATCAAACTAGATGCCGTCCATTATTATGAAGCTTACGAATAATATAATATTTAACATCTGTCACCCCTTTTTTCAGAAATTTCTGTTATAATTAAGGGCCATTAGAAACAGGTAGTCATGTGAAAAATACTTGACAAATAAAAAAAATGTATCTTTAAAAACACACGAAAAAAATGAAAAAAATATTCTCTTCTATCTGCTGTTTCGTATGCATTTGTAATGGTCAACAACTCCTATTAAAAGGAACTACATTGTATTATTACTAGATACATAACTGCTTATAACAATCAAAAGTAACAAACTTTTTTTTTGTAAAATTTGTTATTTAAAAAAATGTAAGAAATGATTATTAATGTGGGAATGTAAAAGGTGTTTAGTTAATTGTTAAAAGTCAAACTCTAGTACTCTAAAGTCCAATTCTAAATGACACCTCAGTTACAACTGTAAATCTTTACGAAAATTTCGAAATTAACAAGTGTGACCCTAATTTT